TCCCAGAATTCCCCAGCCAGCTGGCTGGGGAATTCTGGGAGTTGAAGTCCACCCATCTTAAAGTTGCCAAGGTTGAGAAGCACAGTTCTAAAGGAAGTAAATGGCCATTAGCAGCCACTGATTTTCCACAAATCTACCCAGCCTCTTTTAAAATTGCCTAACTTGGACAGCAAAAACCACAGTTTAACTGTGCATTTTATAAAGAAATCTTTCCTTTAATCACTCCTGAATCTCCCAATATCTAGTTCCAATGGCTTCAGTATTAACATTGTGATGGAAGGAGAAAAACTCTGCCTTTTATTTTTCATACCACCCATTCGTTTTTGTATAACCCTGTCATGCCCCCTTGTGTGTGTGTGTGCCTTCTAGTCAGTGTTGACTCCTGACTGCCTGGACAAATCCATGAAGTTTTCTTGGCAAGGTTTTTCAGAAGTGGGTTGCCATTGCCTTCTTCCTAGGGCTGAGAGAGAGTGACTGGCTTTATGCCTAAGGCAGGGCTAGAACTCACGGTCTCCCAATTTCTAGCCTGAGGCCTTAACCACTACACCAAACTGGCTCTTACTTGCTTATTTTCCAGTCATCAGTAATAAATGCTTCTTCTATAAGTTGCATATTTTTCAAGGAAGTCAGCAATTTCATATTTGCATTCTGAAGCAGGGAATTAAATTATTTTTAATTTGCCAGTTCAATATATAATCTCATCTCTTGTTGCCTCTATTTGACTGCCATACTGGCATCTCTTGTACATCCTCAGCAGCAAAACCAGAAGTGAATGATTCATTAAGTTTTTCTGCAATTCCCACTTTTAAAGCCTCTGGTTAGTCAGATTTTGTCTTCAAATATAATTAAATGTTTCTTTTTTTAAATTTGTCTTGATGTTCCTTGGTATATGGCTCTCAATGTCTTGTATCTTTATTGACGGTTTATATTGCTTTTGCCAAAATTTATAGGGGTTTTGTACTAATTTGGGAAGACTTCCATTTTTTTGAAGGAAGGTTTCTTCCTTCTACTAGTTTCTTGGACCCTATATGGCACCTCTTCAGATCTAGGGTACACATTCTAGGGCTACGAAGCATTGTAGATTTAATTCGAAAAATGTGCTTCAGCCTGTAACTCTTCAAAACAGCCACATTTTCCCCCAGGATTATGTGGCTGCCCTCTAAAGCTACTACATAATCCTAGGAAATGATGCAGCTGTTTTAAAGAGTTGCAGACATATGCTACCGACAGGCACTCCTGAACATAGATAGACTTTCTACTGTTGTACAGATCTTATTGTCAGGTTTTTTCTTATATTTAAACAAAATCTAGGTAGCTGCAACGTATACCTGTTACTTCTGGTCCTAGTTTCTGTAGCCGTGAAAAATAGTCCTTGACAATCCTTCCTGTAACTTCCCTTCATGTTCCTGAACCCAGTTATCATGTCTCCACTCAGTTATCATTTCCTCCACTCTGTCTTTAAAGGCATATCCTCAAGTCCCTATATATATATTTGTCACTCTGTGAATCTGTTCCAATCTGTTAATATCCTTCTGGAAATGTGGTGCCAAGAAGGATCACTCACATTTCACATCTCCATTTTTAAAGCTCTCTTTTCTCATTTTCAAAGACGATTCCCATATTATTATATTTGCTCTCAAAGATAGCATAGAATTTGCTTAAATAAACCATTTTTTAAAAAAAGAAGTTGCAAACATAATAAATGAGACATTAATTGAGAACCAGATCCACGGAGAATGATGGTCAAATAATTCAAATGATGCTTATTCTTAGCACGGGAATAAAAGAAACAGTCTATATTTCTTTATTATTTATCAACAGGTTTTCAAAGCCACAGGATCGATTTTAAAAGCTTACATGTTAATCCATAATGTGATTTGTTTGGTTTATTCAACAAGTGAGATCGCCTACTTTGGCTTATGCAATTAGTCATTGTTAAGACAAACCATGGCTTAGCACAGTAAGTGAACCAAGAAGATTGCGCTTTGGATATGTTTAAGTTGGCTTTGTTACATAACCAAAAATCAAGAAGCACTAACTTCAGACCCTTGGGTATGTCAGAAGTGAACAAAACTGTAGCAATTACATAACAATTTGTCTTTATCGTTGTCTGAACAAAAAACAACATTCCAATATGCAACCCCCTTTCGTTTCAAAAGTTACATCATTTTAAAAAATCAATCCGTCAGATTTATGAATAAATCAATCCCTTGGACTGGACTGCATGTTAACAAAATAACCTCATGTTTGAAACCGTCCTTGGTTGGCCTTGACCAGCAGTGAAATTAATAACCTCTTCCTAGTTATCTGCATGAATGTACAGTAGTCATATTCTGTATATACTCAGGGCTCCCAGTCCTCTATTAAGCCATAGAGTATTTTCAAGAGAATAGGGTCTGCACCAAATAAAAACAGTAAAACATTTTTGGAGGTGGAACACCATGTTTTTTGCCCAGTTTTGATAGCCCACAGTGCAGGCATCATGATCTGCTGGATCTATCAAAAAGGTCACATCCCCTTTCTCCTCTGATCAACAAAGCACTAAAAACTTCACCAGGAATCCTGCTGCAGTCAGAAGCAGAGCAATGCCTCTGCACACATTTTCCAGAAAAAATCACTCCTCCTCTTTCTCCTGTTATGTTTGAAAGGGAAAGAGAAAGAGGTGCATTTTCTCCTCCCCACTTATCTCCAAAGTAAAAGCAAAATGAAAAGAGAGAGTCAGTTTGGTCTAGTGGTTAGGGCACCTGGCTAGAAACCAGGAGGTTCTGAGTTCTAGTCCCACCTTAGGCATGAAAGCTGGCTGGGTGACTTGGGTCAGTTGCTCTTTCTCAGCCCAACTCACCTCACAGAAAAAGGAGGAGGAAGGAGGATTATCTATGTTCACCACCTTGAGTTACTTATAAAAATAATAAAGGCGGGGTAAAAAAAAAATCTTTTTTAAAAAAGTGTCTTTTGCCCAAACTCCCTTCATCCCTACATTCCTTGGAATTGTCCAATCCTCCACTTAGTGTGTCTCTCCAGCTTCACTCCCCCGCATGGCTTCATTCCCTTTCACGTCCTTATCTCTACAGCAGTGTTCATATGACTGCCATCGTTAAGTGAACCCTGTTTCCACCTAATTTTCAGGGTTCTCATCATGACACATAGCCCCTAAATCAATCACACTGGCTAGGTTCGCACAGTGTGGTAGGCTTCTTTGCAGTTTTCAGGGTTGGGTGAACCCAAGCTATGGATCGGACTTCCACCACCAACTTGCACATAACGATCAGAAACCCACACTTTCGGTTCCAGATCTTCGTTTTATCCATCCATCCATCCATCCATCCATCCATCCATCCATCCCACCTCTTTCCAACTCTCCCCATCTCCTGGGAAAGACATCCTGTGTCCCCCCACCCCACAGACAAGGCACTCGCTGAAAAGATACCGAAGCGGAAGGAGGCACACGACCCTTTTAACCCTTTCGATCTCTGCCCTCGCCAACAGTGTAAAGAAGAGCGTCCCTCGCCTCCCGCTCCCCCGCAGGTAGATTCAGACGCACCCGGCTTCAAAAAGGAAGGGCCACTCCCGCCGCCGCCGCCCCCCCGTTGCCATCCCTCCTCCTAGCGCTCGCTCGGGTCTCCCGTCGACGGGGCGTCCCCCCGGATTCCCAAGAGCAGCAGCTGTTGGAGACCTCGGCGGGGGGAGAATCTCCCGCTTCCCCGCAAGAGCAGCCGCCTCGCCGCCTCCTTCCACCCCCGCGGGCGGGGGAGACCCTCCGACCTCAGTCGCTCGGCCCGACTTACTCACCGTGCGCAGCTCCTGCGTCCGGTCCTTCATCGCGGTCGCTTCTCCCGGCTGCGCTGCTCGGCTCTCCGGCACCGGCGAGCGATCGGGGAGGAGCGGAGAGGGGGCGGGAGGCGGCACATGCGCTGGAGCTGGCGCGTCGGAGGCCGCGGCCCCTCCTTCCCCACCCGCTCGACGGGGCTGCGGGCGGCGAGCGGTGTTCCTGCGGGGCGTCGGCGCGCGATTCCACGTGCTTGCGAAGGACCTCAAACGGGTACAGACGATGGGGTAGTTCCCACCTGAACGGTAATCCTGTAAGCTTTTCCCTGCGCACTCTAAACACGCTCAGAGGCACACAATGAATCAAGCTTGTACGGCTGGACCTTATGCAGGTTTCTTCCCAGTCCTACCCGGTGCAATAAGGCTTATTGCGGAGCAAGTGATACTGGATTGAAACTGGAGCTTCCCTTTAAATGTAGAAACGGAGAAGTGGGCTGCAGTTCCGTAATGCTCTTCTGAAGGAAGGCCCGCTGTATTTCCGTTCGCTCTGTGCAAATTACAGATTGGTTTCAAGCGAGGTTTCTAACAACAGAAGTTAATTCTAAAAGCATCTAAGTGCGGCTTGACTTTTGAGAATTCTTACGGCTGAAATGAGATGAGTGTTTATTTGCCAGCATGACAGGGACAAGGTTCAGTTCCCCACTTTACATAGCCCTGTCAGATCCTAACGAACTATTCCTACCCCTAAACAACAACGCCCCCCGCCCCCTTCCTTGCTGAAAAGAAAGCTTTGCTTACCATTAACAAAGGCAGTATGAAATTGACTAGAGGCAGCGAAGATCCAACCCCGTGCAGTTTGACTAAGGCAAACCAAATACTACAAAGGAATTAGAACAATTATAACTGGGTAACAGGGGCCTAATCCCATCCATGTTCCTCAGCTCACTTAACACTAGACCATGGCTATTTCCAGCACCCCGGCAACATTCAGAAGCGCAGTGTATCTTAACAATAAAACAGTCTTCCTTACACAGACTTATTTGGTTTTCCCTATAGGGTCCCAAGATCCTGACAGCAAATCAGAGCCCTAGAATTTCCTACCCACAATTCAAAGTCCTTATAAAATATCTTCCTTTCTGTTGTACTCTGTTCCTCTTCCTTTGTAAGATGAAACCCAAGGATCATCTTCCTCTTCAGAGTTGCACCCCATATTTTGCATCCAGAGCAGAAGGATAAGTAGGTTTAAGAGTCTTTTGCTGAGTATTCTCTGTGCAAGTTATGTTACATGTTTTGATTTTGCTACTAACTATTGCTACTATCCCTCTGCAAAATGAATATCCTGGGATTTCTTTATTTCTTTATTGGATTTATAGGGCTGTCCAACTCAAACAATGTGACTCTGGGCAATGTAGAACAAAAATAATAGACACACACACACACAAACCCACATGTTAAAAAACAACCCAATATATAAAAATAGTGACCAAACATGATAATTTAAACAGCCAAAAGGGATTCCACTCAACTGGACCCACACACCTGGGGAAGAAGTAGGTTTTAACTCTTTTCTAAAGGGAAACAAAGTTGGCTTTATAGGTGTGTGAGACTGTACAGGTATTGCAAAATATAAATCCTGTGAAAAAACATGAAACTATATGGGAAGACAAATAATTTATTGTTGCTGTCATTGTTATGGTGCTACAGCATTGCATGTCAACCTGTAGATGTTCATAACAACTCTTCTTCTCGTTACTCAGCAGAGCCACCAAAAAATGCGAATTGTGGTCCAACACATCTGAAAAGCACTAGGTTTGGGGTACTCTGTAGGGGGCAATCAGTTCACCCAACCTGCAATGCCAATCACTGTTGAAATAACACATTGAATCAGGAACATTCCAATCACATTTAAACCTACCTTGTGTGCAAACTTTGCCTGTGTAATTAATTTTGTGTTTTAGTATGTCGAGCAAGCCATCAAAAGTGGGTCTGTTTAATAAACCCTGGCTAACTTTTATGGAGTAATGGGTCATCTGAGCATAGCCACTCTATGGCATGTTTGCTTATGGCTTAGGTTATCATGAACCCAGCTATTGTTGAAAACACTCATTTATGGCTTAGTGTATTGTGGGCATCTCACAATTTGTAGTTTATTCAGTATGCCACAGTGTAACAAGCTATACCTTTACACAATATGTAAATTCATCCTATGGGAATAGGACTGGGGAGACCAGATTCAAATTCCCAGTCAGGTGTGAAATTCTGCAGTTGTGGTCACAGAACACATTTAATCAGGTCAATTACAAATCTAGCAGCTGCATTTGAACAACGTATTAATTTTAGTTTAAATTATTTTACAATTTTTTGCTTTAGCCTGTTACAGCAACCCTGTCCATTTGGTTACTTTGTGGTTCACTGTACTATGGAAAACCAAAATGGGGTTACAATAACCTGACTAGGATGTTGTATGAATTGCTGTTGCTAGATAGATGAGGGTGAGAATTAATGAGAAAACTATCTCATCAGGGTATTGTGAGGACAAAGCTAAAGAGAATGTGTTATATATGGCTCCTTTAGCTTCTGGAGAAACACTGGGGTTATTAATGCAACAAGGAACAAAATAAATACCAGATCTTAGCTTCAAGGAGCCTCCCATCTAAAATCCAATAGATTGTAGGCAGTTACTTCCTTCCTACTGCTGTGCCTTGATTATTTATGGGGTTCTTATGCCATGTTATAAGCCATTTTCAAAGTTCTGAAGAGATGATGGACTGCACAGCTATGCTCACACATGCTAAGCCATGGTTTGACTGTGATTCATTGAGAAAACTACAATGCGCTGTGTTCACACATACACAAAGTTATGATTTATACTTTGTATATATTTGTATGGGATTGCATAGCCTGCTAATCCAACTATACATTGCCATCAAAAGCTTTTGTGGACCGCTTCCTAAGCAAGTTGTTCTAAGTGTGCTTTCGTTTGAGAGTGTTAGATGAAAGCTACTGATACATTTTTAGATTTTGCTGAACATGCATAAATAGTTCAAATTACATCATACAAAAGTACCACTGTTTAAACTCAATCTTATATTATACAGGGATGTAAAGAAAATTGCTTCAGAACAATTATACTGAGATTGTATTTGCTGACATGCTGAACCCAATTTAACAAAACATACATAACATTCTCTATCCAAACAAATAAACCATTTTATCGCTTAATATAATAGCCTTGTTAATGCAACATGCTAAGATAGATGATAGATTCTCACAACATACTGAGCCCAAACCTCTCAGCCTGATTTTGTGTATTATGTGAATCCAACTTATGGGTAATAAACACAAATATTATACAACAACATACAGGTGATTATATTATTACATTATATATAAAGCAGTAGTCCCCCATTATCTCCTAAGACAAAGGACTTTTCTTCTCAACTGAAATACACTCTGCCTATGCTCAAAAGGCATTCTGTTCAAGGAGCCATGATTTCTGAAATGAAAAATTGGCTGTTCTGCTTATTACTAGCAAAAATTAAGAGGTAGTATTCCTCAACATGAAGATTTGCTTGCATAAGTATGGAATTATGGTTTCTGGCTTAATGGCTGGCATTGGGCCATTATATTGTTATCTGACTTGTATGGCCTGGCCTGTTTTTTCCTCCTTTGGCATCAGTTTTGCATACAAGAAATGACCAGGAGAATCACACTGTAGTGTAAAGAGAAGCAGAGAAGAGCATCCCCTCCTGAGATCTGCATGTCATGTTGAATTTAAAACTGGCCACTGAGCGCACAACTCTTTTCATGTACAGTATGTTCCTTTCAGGTGAGTCTCCAAAGCTGAAGAGAGAATATAACCTCTTTGAGGGATGTTCCCTGGGTATTCTGCCACCTTCTGGGCATTGTAGACGATGTAGGAGGACAGTCATGTTAGTCAGTGTTATCCAAAAATCAGGAGTCTGATGGTACCTTTTCAAACTAACACATTCTGTTGAAAAGTATGTGCTTTCATGAGCTTCTTTCTGACTTCTGGGCATTGAAAATCTAGCAGGCAGCCCTGTAGAATCCACGCATGGTGCTTCCTGAATATGTTTTTAGATGTTTGTTTGTTTATTTATTTATTAAATTTCTCACCCACCCATCTCCCCCCGATGGGGGAACTCTGGGTGACTCACAACAAACATTAAAAACAAATCAATCAATCAATCAATCAATC